TAAACTAATTAAGCATGAAATTAAACTAATTAAACAAGAAATTAAACTAATTGTGTAGTGCAATCCATCAAGTAGAAGCATTATCCATTAAATTAAACCACAATTACAACTAACTAACACCATGCATAGCCATCATAAGATCCAATTAATAAAGAAATCAAGTGTAGAGGTTGATTATCAATTAATCACACATAAGACAACATGAGATTAACATAGAGAATCAAGTGAAAGAATTAAACCATAATATCACAAGGCTACAACATCTATTACACAAATTAATCCCCAAAAAGTGAAAAGATAAAGATTAGGTTACATGCTTAGGGTTTATCCAACCCTAAGTTGAAGATTTAGCCACTTATGGTTGATGGATTTAAGGTGTCAACAAGTTTCATCCACATTTTTTGCCTAATCATCCTCTTCTTCTTCTGCTCTTTGCTTGTTCTTGAAACCCTCGATTGTTTTTGCCTCCTTTTTAAGCCCTAATCTAGCGAGATAACAATATCCAACTAACTATTACAATTGAATAATTTAATCAAAATGAAAGCTAACCTAACTAATAGGTTTTATTTTTCCTTCAGTACAAGCCCTCCTAGAGGCCAATAGGTCAGAAAATGAGCCCGAAATAGGTCAACCCCGTAGCCAAACTAGGGAAAATATATAATTTTCTACCGGCAAGCATGGTGTCCGGACGCCAAATCCGCATCCAGACGCAATGCATCATCGACTTGCATCCGGACACGGATGTTGGCGTCCGGACGCAATGCATTCTTGGCACTTTTCTGATTTCTTCTGGAATGTTCCGGAACTTTCTACTTGTCTCCAAAAAGGCAGTAATGGACCAATTTAAGCCCGTTTGAACCTTATTGCCCTGAAATAGACATAAACATAAATTAGGACTAAAACGAGAAAGTAAGATAAATGCAAAAACTAAAATACCCTAGTTTAGGTGTTGATATGTGCAACATTTAAGCACTTATCAATATTAATTTTGATTATCATCTGAGCATGTCTGTAATGAAGATATAAGGTTGTGGATTTCATCTCTGAGTTTGTGGGACACAAAATTCCTATTTTACCCCTCAAACCTTAGTTTTGGCAAAATGAAGGCAGGTGTTTGTATTGATACTTTGAGCTAGTTATTCTTTCTTATCTTGTGTAATGGCTTGAGTATTGTTATAATATATATTTTTATATGTATTTTGTGAGCTGTGAGAGCTTGCAAGGTTCATGCAAGGTTGCTTAGGACAGGGGGCCTGTAAAGTGCACTTAGTGATGCTAATGTCTGTGTAGAGGTTGTAAAAGCTAGTGTTTTATCTTGTATAAAGGTGTGTGCAGAGAGTGTGACAGCTGAGTGTGTAACCACTTGCATACAACTAGTGGAGATATTATTGGTTGAGGCCAAGAACCAGGGTCTTCCTCTATTGAAAGGGTTTTCCTTGTAAATGCACTGAGTACTTATAAGTGTGTGTAAACTTATTGAATTTATCATCATTCTTGTCACATTGTATTAATCAAACAAAGAAATTTTTTTTATACAAGAACCAATTCACCCCCCTCTTGGTTCATCAAAAGCTTTTCGATGAAAGAGCTCTTCACTTTCTAGTTGATCTCATTGTTTGAAGACGCTTGAAGCTTTTTCGATTTGGGTTTGACTAAAGTCTCAGTGTTGGTTTGTTGCTGTTGTTAATGCTATCTCTTTCTCTGTGTTGGACTCTCTTGATTAGTTCTCAATGCTCAAGCTTCTCAATTGGTCTTCAATGGAGTTTTGGCATGGTGGAGACTTAGAGAAAAAATTGTGGGATTGAATCCTCTGACCACTTGGCCCTCTTCAATTGAACCACTTGACCCTCTTCAATTGTTTGATTCCAAAACAAAGCATCCAAAGATTTGCCTAATTTATTATTATTATTTATTTATTTATTTTTATTGCCACAGTTGTGAGAAAAAATTGTGGGATTGAATCCTCTACTCTCTAATTTGACGAGTAAAAATCATTGGATGGTATCGAATCCCCTAGTATCATCTCCAATGGACACAAACCCACTTTGAATCAAATCCCCAAACCTAATGGTCAATGCCAATGGTGGCCATTAGAGACTTTTGGTCCATATAAAAATGATGTAAATTTTATATCAATTGGTAGGGACAAGGGTATTATGGATATTTTTATAAATTTTGTACATGACGTCAGCACATTTTGTCATTGATTGGCATTGACTTTTACAGAACAGAGGTCTGTGTAGGACTTTTTCATTTTTAGGGAAGCTCCGAGTAAATTCCCAAACCACATAGGAGATCCCTATAATTATAGCAAACTATAGGGAGACCTGTGTAATTTACCCTTAAATGTACTATGCAAATTGTTTGCGATAAAACAAAATTAAAAATTGTGTGGTAAATTGGTATTTGGTTGTTCATTGATCCTAAGGAAGATGATAATATAAAGTAGTGTTAGTCATTCCGTTGTACATATGTAGTGTTCAGCTAATTTCAGCCAAGGTGTCACTTGTTACCTAATAAGTGCCTACCATTTCAGTTTTCAAACTTTTTTTTAAATTATAAAAATAATAATAAAAAAAAATTACATGCTGTTTTGCATGATGAAGCAAAAATTAGGTAAGGGGCTTATTTGTCTTCAAAAATAGTTTGTCACCCTCTTGGATTGTTTGAGGGCGTTTTGTGGCAAAAAAAATTCTTAAAAGGGTTTATTGTAAATAGTTACAAGTTAGGGGGATTTTTCACAATTCACCCTTATTATTATTGGACTATCTGCTCTACTTTTAAGATCATAAAATACGAATGCTGGAGCTTTAAATTATTTTTGCTGAACTTGATTAAAATCCAGTTACAAAACTGTACGAATTTATTTGGATTGAAAAATTTCAAATAAATGAATTTAGGTTCACTTATTTGATAAATATAAACCAAATTCAGATTTAGTATCTTGAATCAAAGTTTTAATTAATTTTGAGAATGTTGTATGTGTTGATTTCAAATAACAAATGGCAAGGCAAGAATTGTTAGAGCTTTGGTATGGAGAGTCAATTTTAACTTTTAACTTTTAACTTTTAACTTTTAACTTTTAACTTTTATATATGTATTGGTTATTTATATATGTATTGGGCTTTCGAAAAAAATATATATATTGGGCTAACGTGGCTCTCCACTACAGTGGTCCACCAGCGATATGGTTCTAACTGGGCTGGTTCTTTAAAAATAAAAAATTAAATTAAATCAAAAGGTCAAAGAGCTTGCAACCGCGTCCAAACAAAAAAAAAAAAAAATTGATTCTTTATTAAGCAGGCTAGGCTTGCAAGCCTCGCTACCTGTGGACCCTGCCAAAGAAAAAAAAAACAAAAAGGTGTGGGGCCGCCATGCGGGGAGGCCACACTAATACCCAATCCTCCTTGTATTCTCTCTCCTTTGCCCATCATATTCTCCTTTGCTTGTCACACTTTGCATCATATAATATGCTTTTAAGTTTCGTTTCTTTAGATGTGAAATATATATTTTTATTTTTTAATATTTAGTTGTAAAATATTTACAAAGAGAAAAAAAATTAAAACTTAATAAAAATAATTTATTCATAAATTTTTAAAAAATTATTTTACACGTCCCACCGATGGACTCAACCTCAACCTCAAGTCTTACCTAAACCTTTACCAAACACCAAAAAAATATAAATAAAAAATATATATTTTACTAAAAAAAATTTTTTACGTCGAAACAAACAAAACAAACAAAGTCTTATATTACGCATGGTTGGAAGAATGGAAAAATGGATGGGAGGGAGGGAGGGAGATGATGAGGGATGGATGAGGTAACCTAAGGGAACGTGTCTCCCTCATTTTTTATTTGGTTGGATAAAATGGATAGTAGAAATGATAAATGGAATGACCTTTTTTTTTTTTTTTTTTTCGGTTCCATTGGAAGAAAGGGTAAGAGAGTTTTTATATCTTTTTTGACTTTATACCCCTATTAAGGTAATAAAGTTTAACAAGCAAACTTCTAGGAAGGTTAAAAAAAGAAGGGCCAAAATCATAACCCCCCGCCCAAAAAAACTAATTTTAATTTTTAATCATAAAACACCAATCTGCTTCTAAAACTCCCAACACTATTACAAAATTATCACATTGCATCAATTTTGTCAATGGTCCGTTAAGTCGGTGTTAAATGACTATATTAACCTTATAATATACCACCTTGTTTAAAAAAAGCAAAAATTGATATTTTTTAAATTACAGAAATAACCTTAGGACATGTAGCCTTGTCTGGCTTTGTAGAGAAGACCACCCCATCTTTAAACACTGCCCAAAATTGATGAAAAAAGAAAGGCGTGAATAATAGAAGGAACAATAACAGAGTATCCCTATGTATAGATGATGGGTCCATCAGCTCTGATATAAAGGAAGTCGAGGACATGTCACCGCCATTCACACATAACCACCACCACTACCACCACCACCACCACTACTGTGGGGGAGCCGCAACCACCATCCCCACAATTGGTGGCACCACCATTTCCCTCCACTCCAACCAAACACAGATATTTTGTTTTATCTCTCCTCACATCCATCCCTCCCTCCCCAATCCTTCCCTTGAGCTCTATCTTAATATAAATTCAAAAATTAAATAGAATCCAATTGTGGTGTTTCTATACAAATTTAACAAAACTTGGAGGTAACGGATGGCAAGCAATTAGAACTCAGTGGCACCATGATTGGCTCAAAGGAAAATGAATTGAAAAATGGCTTATAGAAATGAATGAGGCATAGCAAAAATGTTATTCAGACAGCTAGATTGAGCTCAAGCACGCAGGTCCTTAACTTGGCAACAATCTGTGGCAGCAAAATGAAGACTATGATTAACAGAATTCCAAGTAAGACCAAGGCTGCATAGCAGAGGTCCTGAGGAATGATAAATTTTGAACTATTTCATGCACATACCAAGTTAATTACGTAATAAATCACCTCAGCTTAGTCTCTACTGTTCCAGCTTAATTGAAAAAACAAAATATAAAATTAAATGAGTATATGAATATCGTAGGAAATGAACAGCAGAAATGATTATGATTAGTGAAAAAAAAAAAAAAAAAGATATTTTCTTTGGTATCAAACCAGTTCATCAGAGATGATATGTGACAGTCTCTAAATCAAAGGTAAATGTATAAAGCCACACTACCAGTACTTGACTACTTGCTCATGTGGCTTTTTGTAAAACAAAGGTACATGTATAAAACTGTATGTGGTTAAAAACTAATAGTAATCATATGTTACCTAGTAGTTCAAACCCCAATCATAAGGCTGATATACCACCTTCAACTGAGTCGTCGCAAGTAACTCCAGCAACCCTTCAGAGTCAGCTGGCTCTAGATAATTTGCTGCATGCCTCATTACCTCCACCTCGTTCTTGCCAAAATCTACACTGTACCTGAGCATCCATGAAGAAGATAGCATTAGATAACAGGAGTTACATGCAACAGTGAACTGTCACAAATCTTCAATCAAGTATATAACAAAGGCTTCACCAAAAAAATAATCTCCGTCATTGCATTAAATTCTTTTTTGCTTTAGATGTCATAACATGGATTCAACAATACCAGACATGTGTTAATGCATTTATCTTCAATACTTGATGCTACAACATGACTTCACTAGCATAATCACTAAAATAGAGCCCAAATGAGACTTAAATTCAGAGTAGTTACCACCAAGGGCTTAGCAGAACTGGTATCTCTTTCCTTCCAAATGGAAGGTTGAGGATTCAAGACCCAAAAGAGACAAATGGGTGTGTGTGTGAGAGAGATTTACTGATTTACCTATAAAGAATAACATAAAAAATAATTTTAATTTTAATTTCACAGAATTTCGTCAATCTAGAAAATCAAAGCATCAAATTAAGTTTGAATATTCCACTTCATGTTGCACTCTGGGCTATTGATTGTAACTTCTTAAAATTATGGAAGCTTATTAACTTTGTATTATTAACCATTATTTTGGACCAGAGTGTATAGCATGATACAATATATATATATATATATATATATATATATATATATGTAGAGAGAGAGAGAGAGAGAGAGAGAGAGTCTAAGAGTCGATACTCCTCCTTAACACACATTAAGTTCTGCTGGATGCAAAAAATAGTTCAAGGAATGCATTTGGGGACCTCTATTTAAACAACTTACCATTTGAGTATCTTAGTGGCTGATGCAACTTTCTCATTCAGATCAACAATGAGTCCTCCACTTCTTAAGAAATTACGGGCTGCCTCCATCAACTCTTTATCAATGTTCCCAGGTGCGTAGCACTGAAGAGCAGGTCCAGATCGATGTCCACAAACCAGTGCAAAGTGAATAAGAGGCTCTGGGTAAGGAAGAGCAACCTGACAAGTGGGAAGAAAAAAAGGGGGAGGGAAAAAAACACAATGAGCACCGCTTACAATAATAAGCTGATCAGAACATTAGACAAAGATATCTAAGCAAAACAACCATGTGCTATAAATGGTCATTCAGAAACAAAAAAGTTTATCTGCCACAGATATCAGCCTCCTCTGTTTCGTCATATATTATTGGGTAAATTACACTGACCTCCCCTGTTGAATGCCTAAACAACAGGGACCTCGCCTATGGTATCAAAAATAACACTGCCCTCCCGTCAATGTTGACTTTGACCTAAAGGTGTTAAATAACAATTATACCCATTGTACTTTATTAATAATTACCATTACAACATATGACAAATGTTTTTTCAAGCTTTCTAAGGGATGGGAGGTCATTGTTATTTAGACATTCAACAGTGTAATTTATCCTATATTATTTAAACAAGCTCGATTGCAATCCCCCCAACCCACTACTGGTCACTGAAAAAAAAAATTATTAAAAGGCTCCCAAAGCAACCTCTTTTGTTTCATGTCATATAGTATAATAAAGCTCAATTCAGTCCCCCATGCGACACACGCAAAAAGGCACAAGTTGTTAAGCTCCCAAGCCTAATAAGTATCACCCCTCAAATCTATATTTTAACAATGAAGTAGCCAAAGAAAATAAAATACAGTAATTTAAACAGAAGAAAAGTGTCATCCCTTGGGTAGCAAGGCATAAAAAAATACATCAAACAGAGAAGGTTGGCAGATAAATTCCTGGTTAAACTAGAAAACAGTTATAATTTTTCTTTTTAACAAGTTCCTGGTTAAATAAGAAAACAGTTATAGTTTTCAACAGCTTTCAATTCCTTCTTTCTCTTTTTGTTTTTTAGAAGTATTAAGTCTTCAGTTTCTCTTTTTCCTTTTTATTGAAAAGTTCCACCAAGATGGTAATCCATGTAATAAAAAGGTCAAATCTGCTAGGAGTAAAAAAAAAAAAAAGTGAATTTTTTGAAATAAAAACAAAATGCAAATTATTTGAACCTCACCAATTAATAAAAAGCTCGGAATATAAGTAAAATTTAAATTATTGTTAAATGCTCCGACACGTCCCTCGCCCCCCCCCCCCCCCCCCCCCCCCCCAAGGCTCTCACATTAAACCTGAGAAAAAATTGCTCTGACACCCCCTTCTATAAATTGATAAAATAAAATGCCTAAATTACCCTCCATTGTTGCAAGTACATTTTTACCCTTAAATTGTTAGACCTTTATACCCCTCACATGTTATTACTTAATGAGGAACTCGCCCATTTGTCAGCACCCTATTGGCTGCTGACCTTATTTTTTATTTATTTCCAAGGTCTCTTTACTCTCTCTCTCTCTCTAACCTCTCTCAGAGAGAGAGAGAGAGTAAAGAGACCTTGGAAATCCAAAAAATAATAATTAAGGTCGTGATTTCGTCTTTAACTAATAACATGTGAGGGGAATATAAAGGTCTTAACAACTTAAGGGTAAAAAGTACTTGAAACAATGGAGGGTAATTCGGGCATTTTATTTTATCAATTTAAAGAAGGGGCTGTCATAGCAAATAAAACCAAACCTGGTGGGAGTGTCGAGCAATTTTTGCTCAAGTTTAATCTGCAACCAATAAACCCAAACCTGGGGAGGCGTCGGAGCATTTAACGCTAGATTTAATTCTACACAATCACAGACCAACCCAAGAGCTGGCTCATATGCAACATTGATAACCACAATGGCCATGTGGCTGTCACAGGAATAAGTTATATTCCAATAAAACAAGACAATCATCAACAATTAGTAAAGGTAATGTAACTTATCTTACCTTTAAACGTTTGTCATGCACCCCAAATGGCTTAATAAGATTGTATGGTGGTCGTTGATTGCTCCTTAATATGCCATTTTCTATAGCTGAAAGTGAATAGGTCAACCCACCAATAACATACTTGAAGTCTCCCAGCAATTTCCTTCGCTCCAGTGCTCCATCAGGATGACCCCACACCAAGATTGCATGAATGGCCATCGTATTGTAGAGATTTATAAAGAAAGCAAGCTTCTCCTCTCTTTGCATGTCATGTAAATCTACCCTTTGAAGCTCCTCCACTATTCTCAGATACCTACAAAAGTTTAAAAAGTAACACCAAGGGGAAGTTGAATATCCAAAGCATAATTGTTTATTAAAACATATATTTTTGTTAAGAATACAGTTTCATCCATACAACTCAATGGCTACAACAAACCTGGCAAATTCCTCACTCCCATGGATGCTTCTATAATCAATGTGCTTTCCATCTTCCGATGTGTAAGCTTCAAAGATTGCATAACATAATTTTCTAAGCCGTGATGAGATTTCTATTATAGACTTTGGCTTCACATCAATTATACCCCTTGCAATGTTCTGACATTGTGACATTATAATAGGATCGTGATCCAAGAACCGGTACAAATGGTTGCCATCTTCAAATACATTCTCACTAGAGCAATATAAAGAATCACACGGAACAAAAACTAAAAAATTTCAGTCAGGGATATGAAATTTGTGGGGTGTGTGTTTTAGAGAGAGAGAGAGAGAGATGAATTAACAAAATAAAAAATTAGAGATATATTAGTTCAAGACTTCAAGGTACTTACTCAAGAACATGGTGGAAGAAGAGTTTTCTAGCAAGCTTTCGAGCAAATTCAATAGCCTATAGAAAAACACAAGAGGTAAAAAATAGTTGATATTGATATGATCTAGGCAGAAAAATAAGCAGGCTTCTTTTCTTTAGAAACTACTACCTGCTGATTCGTTCCAGCTGTATTTTCATATGATATATATACAATTTAATCTTCCTTTGGGGAAAAAATTACATGATAAAATAAATGATGATGTTTAAGATCCATCTACAATGGAATTTGGTGAGACATCATGCACAAGCAGCAATATGCTATGATAATATGACCTGTTCAAAATAAAAGATTCTTCAGTTATTTACAACAACAAAGCTTTTTCCCAATTGTTTGGGGTCGGCTACATGAATCCTATGTTTCCATTCCACTCTATTTAGGGCCATAGCCTCAGTCAAACCAAATGTTATCATATCTTTCTTTACTAACTCTACGCACGTTAACTTTGGTCTTCCTCTTAGCCTAGTATTACCCTCAATGTGGACTATGTTCACTTAAATAATAAGATAATACCAGTCAACCAAAGGCTCACGGAAAACTACAATCCATGGATCAAATTGGAATACTCAGAGCTAATGATAAGGCAGTCCAAATGATAAGGCAGTAATTGGACTGCTATGACATAATCTCACTCTCTTCATCAATAATTGAACTAAATTTTCTATGTAAATACACACAAAAACAAATAAATAAAGTCCAAAATTCTAGAGGTATTTTGCCAATGATTATGATGACTATCGAGAATCAAAAGTTCTTTGGTGGTGATAGAAAAAACTTAAAATGTGTTCACACAATTTTGCAGCAGCCGGTGTGCCAGAGTCCTTAACCTGGACTCAGGGTGTTTTGAGCCAAAAAAATCAGAATCCCTTGGATCGCGTCAATGGCGAGTCTATGGAGATGGTGATTGCAATCAGGTACTGTAAGGAAGCAAGGGAGGACCCTCCTTCCAAGTTTGCATAGCTTTGAAACCGAAGAATTAAATATTTCCCAGTTGGTTGGTGATAATATGATGGTGGAGATGGTGTGTAAAATGGAGTGCTCTGTGAATTGTAAAATGGAGACGACATAGATGGAAAAGAGAAGTAAGCACCACATGCATTCCATTGATATACATTACATGAAAATTTTGGACTACAAGGGAGAGAGTTAAATTAAACTAAATATAGAGAGAAAAAGACTAAACTCAACTATATCTAAGGACGAAAAGAGAACAAGGAGCGAACAACTAAGTAAAGCAAAGTACAACTAGATTAAGGCAACATCTAAGTTACATGAAAGCTAAAGTAAAGCTAAACTACAACTAGATTAAAGCAAGGAGCACAATAAGATAATGGTATCACATTAGAGTTGTAAAGAGAGAAATAGAGACTGGACTTATGTTGGTCTGGGGACCCCTTCCTTTGAAAACAAAGGGCTCTATTTATGAGACTGTGGAGGAAAAGCTTGATGGCTTTAGATGTTGACATGTGGCTCTCTCAATCTTCTAAAAAGACCTATGTGGATTTGTTGGTGGTTGGTGGAAACAATGCACGCTTCCAAGGGCAGCAGCACTTGGGAACATAATTTTTTCCCTTTTGGTGAAAGAATCTCTGGGCTTTTCCTGCAACTTATCCCTTTTCCTCTTTGGGCTTTGCGGCACTGCTCAATGCATTATGGCTGCTGACTCCAGCAAAATCACTCTTCCCCATACACTGCTTAGATGTCCTTCCATAACTGCCACTTTGCAGGTCGATGACATACCCTTTCAGGTGCCACAATCAATGTGGCCCTTGAATAATCACGCCGTGTAGATGCCATGTCAAGTCAGTGGTGATAACCTGGCATCATCCCAATCTTTGACAGTTGTTTAACCTATAAGTGATCGGCCAAGTCACGGCCTCTGCACTCATTTTACACATAAACAGGTTAGCTGCTGTCTGCCTCAACTACTCCAAAGCATTTGCCAAGTGGAGATGGTCGGCTTACTTGGACTTGGCAAGATTGCTTGTGAACCACCATCCTTATGTTGACAGAACCTGACAAGATTGGCCGATGCCAACCTCAACAATTTTCTCAAAACGGAGATGTGGTCGTCCCGATGGACTTGATGAGCCATCCCCACCCTGATTCTTCAAACTTGGGGTTTCAAGGTTGGCTGACGTCGCCTTAAGCCAAGTCCATCTAAATAAAGGCTTGAGGAACTACCCTTGCCCCAGTGTCCCGCGTTAACCATCGAAATAAAGTCAGAAATTGGTTCTACCGGATGTTACGGATCTGCAAGAAATTGGTTCTATCGAAATAAAGTCAGAAATTGATTTTCAACAATGAACCAAACTATGTTTTCTTCCTTCTCCAGCGTCGCATTGCTTCATTATTGGCTCTGCACAACACAATTTCTCTTTATTGACGCAGCACACTACCATAAACACACTGTTTTGAACTATTCATCATTACCTCTCACTGATTACCCTTTTTCCTTACAATACCTACACATGACACACACAAAACATATATATTTATATATATGTTATATAAATATATATATATCTACACACACACACAAAACACTCATCTTTCTTTCTTTCACACCCCACATGTCTCTCCTAAATTATTACATACATATTATATTATATATATATATATATATATGTCACCAAATCAATGTTCTACATCAAGTTTTCTCCAGGGCCACCACCATGGTGTTGGCAAGAATCATTCTTGCCCCACTATTGTTTCATTTAGATTTTCATATTGACTTTGTTCTTGAATATAATGAAAATATTTGGACCTTCATGACCAAGAAAAATAATATTCTCAAGTTGGTTTTCTGGAGTCTGGACTCACACTTGAGTCCTCTGTACCAACTTAGACTTCACATTGGTAAGAATCATTTCTTGCATTTTTGTAGTTTCATTTATGTTCTCATACTGATTTTGGTCTTGAATATCAAGACCCATACTTAGATCTTCATGACTAAGAAAACTAATAGTCTCCAGTTGGTTTTCTGGACTCACTCGAGTCCTCTTACCATGAGCCATCATCATGCTTTTGGCTGTCACTGGCTTGTAACAAAGCCGGAATTAGAAAATGTTCCTTAAGATCAGCTTTAATGTCATTTTTAAGACCATACATGGTCGTGTTAAAACATTTGTAATTCTAGCAAAGCAGTTGCTTTCTTTGCAACAGACATTATTTCTTAGAAAGCTGCCTGAATGGCTTTCAAAACCAATCATATCGCTTTTAAATGCTCTTTTTCCCAGCTGGATATCTCACTGAGAGTGCAATAATTGTTCACACAATTTTGCGACTCTTCAGGTGCTACGGTGTGCTAGAGTTCTTGATGTGGACTCGGGATGCATTGAGCCGGAAAATCGAAAACCAATTCTTGGGTCGATTGAACCGATGCCCGGTCTATGGATATGGGGGCTAAGATCAGGCAACTGTAAGGAGGTAAGGAAGGGCCCTCTTTCTGAGTTAACATTGCTTTGATACCGAGGACTTAGATAATACCTAGTTGGTTGGTGATATGATGGTGGAGATGGTGTGTTAGATATAGTGCTCTATGAATAGTAAAATGGAGAAGACATGGATAGAAAAGTGATGTATGCACCAGAAATTGCATCCCACTGATACATTCAGTGAAAAAATTGGATTACAAGGGAAAGAATTATATTCTATGAAGCACGGACACTCTTCCCAGGGGTCCCATACCAGTGTCAGACACTTTTCGGACACCGACACCCATGTCCGAGGCTCGGACATGTGTCCGACACTTCTGTGAAGTGTTCAAAAATTATTTTTTATTGGACACGGCTCGGACACGTGGAGGACACGGGGTGGATACGCGGGGGACACGGCGGGGTATATTTTGTAATTTTTTTTAAAGATAGGACACGGCGGGGTATATTTTGTAATTTTTTTTTAAAGATAAATGTGGTACCTAATGTAATTTACTAATTTTAAAAGTTTAAAAGTAAAATTTTGAAAAAATAAAAAAACAACTACAAACAACAGAGTATTACACAAAAAATTTATTTTCTCTTACTTCCTTTCTCAGTCTCTCCTCTTATTCAATTATCTCTCTACATGAACAAGACTTTTTTTTTTGTTTTTTTAAGTTACATGAATAAGACTTGGTGAAAGACTGAAAGTATATATTTTTCTTATAACATAGATAAAATTATTAAAATTGGTCCGGTTATTTATTATTGTTTTATTTGCAATTTTGTATTTATATATACCTGTTTGTTATTAGAAAAATGAATGTGCAAGCTTCTAGTAATTATATTTTGAATATATATATATATATATATAATTTTATAGGCGTATCCCCGCCGTGACCGTGTCCTATTTTTTTGAAATTTGTCGTGTCACCGTATCCGTGTCGTATCGTACCCGTATCCCGTGTCCGTGTCCGTGCTTCATAGATTATATTAAACTAAATGTAGAGAGAGAGAGACTAAACTACACCATATTTGAAGTACAGCTAATGTATAACTGGATCAAGGTAACATCTACACTACACTTATTTTTAATGGAGTTATGGCTGAAACTGAAGAGGAAATCAGGAATGGATTTGTGACATATTTTCAGGATCAGTTCACTGAATTAGTTAATTAGAGACCGAAATTGGATGGCATTGAATTTGATAAAATTTCAGAAGAGGATAGGTTGGGGTTGGAGAGGCCTTTTGGGGAGGAGGAAGTTCTGGAAGCTTTAAAGAGTTGTGATGGAGATAAGTCTCCGGGACCGGATGGCTTCACAATAGCGTTTTTCCAAAAGAATTGGGAGGTGGTGAGAGCCGACGTGATGAGAGTCTTGGCTGCGTTCTTTGAGGAGGGTTGTTTTGAGAAGAGTTTGAATGCCTCTTTTATCACCCTTATTCCCAAAAAGGGTGGAGCGGTTGGTGCCAAGGATTTTAGACCAGTAAGTTTGGTAGGCTCTGTGTATAAAATCATTGCGAAGGTCTTGGCTTTGAGGCTAAGGAAAGTGATCGACGGGATTATTTCGGAGTCACAAAACACATTTGTGGGAGGAAGGCAAATTCTTGATCCGATTCTTATTGCAAGTGAATGTATTGATGCTAGAGTCAAGAGTGGGGTGCCCGGAATAGTGTGCAAGTTGGATATTGAGAAAGCATATGACCATGTTAATTGGGGGTTTTTGATGTATTTATTAGGAAGGATGGGGTTTGGTACCAAATGGAGAAGGTGGATTCAGTTTTGTATCTCAACAGCTCGGTTCTCTATATTAGTGAACGGGTCTCCTAAAGGCTTTTTTGCAAGCTCGAGTGGATTAAGGCAGGGGACCCTCTATCTCCTTTTCTTCTTATTATAGTCATGGAAGCTTTCAGCAGAATTATGCGAAGGGCAGAATATTGGGATTCATTAATGGTTTTTCGGTGGGGCAAACGCCAAATCAGATCGTTACTTCCCACTTGTTATTTGCAAACGACACCATTGTTTTTTGTGATGCGAGGGTGGATCAGTTGAGGCACTTGAGGTGTGTTTTGGCCTGCTTCCAAGTGGTCTCCGGGTTGAAAATTAACATAGCCAAGAGTGTGATTGTTCCAGTGGGGGTGGTGGATAATATGCTGGAGCTGGCAGAAATCTTGGGGTGTGGTATTGAGTCTTTCCCGCTGTTGTACTTGGGGATGCCCTTGGGTTCTTCGATGAGGAGAGTGGCAGTTTGGGATCCAGTGGTGGACCGTTTCCAAAAGAGACTATCCGGGTGGAAGAAGCAATATTTGTTGAAAGGGGGAAAACTCACGTTGCTGAAAAGTACCCTCTATAACCTTCCTACGTACTTTATGTCCTTATTTTTTATTCCTAAAACAGTGGTCAATAGACTTAATATGATTAAAGGGAAGTTTTTGTTTGGGGGGGGGGGGGGGGGGGGGGGGGCATCTAGTAAAGTGGGAGACTGTATGCACACCCATTAAAAAATGTGGTCTGGGTATTCGTAGTTTGGAGATGTTTAATAGAGCCTTGCTAGGGAAATGGATTTGGAGATTTGGGTGTGAGAGGACAGTTCTTTGGAGACGGATTATTGCTAGTCGTTTTGGTGAAGAGGAGGGAGGTTGGAATTCTAGAAGTGGGTCTGTATCAGAAGGTATAGGAGTGTGGAAAAGCATTAGGAGGGGTTGGGATGAGTTTTCAAAGCGGATAAGGTTTAGAGTTAGGGATGGGCGGAATGTGAGGTTTTGGAAGGATTTATGGTGTGGGGATGTGGTACTGGCTTGTAGATTTCCGTATCTATTTAGGATTATTGAGAATAAAAATGCAATGATTGCTGATTATTTCCATTTTATGAATGAGAGAGTATGCTGGGACTTGAGTTTTCGTAGAAGATTCAATGATTGGGAGCTGGGGGAAGTTACAGAGTTATTGGGTTTAATTTACAGCCAAGAGGCGGAGGGGGTAGGAAGGGATGAGATGGTGTGGATGGGAGGTTCAATAGGGGTGTTTGAGGTGAGGTCATTTTACCAAAGCCTTATGAATGACATTTGTAACAATTTCCCTTGGAAGGCTGGTTGGAGGACTTCAGCACCATTGAAGGTGGCTTTTTGCACATCGACAGTGGTTCTTGAAAGCATACTGACTCTTGACAATCTTAGGAGAAGATGGCAGATTACTGTTAACTGGTGCTGCATGTGCAAAAAGGAGGGTGAATGGGTTAATCATCTCCTGATGCACTGTCAAGTGGCAGCAGATGCTTGGAGCATGGTTATGAAGGTCTTTGGGGTTCATTAGGTTGTTTCAAGAACAACAAAAGGTATGCTAGAGGCCTGGCGAGGGAGACCAGTCGGTAACCGTATTAGAAAATGTTGGAGGGTAGCACCTCTTTGTATTTGGTGGGGGTAGCACCTCTTTGTATTTGGTGGGGGTTGTGGCTCGAGCGCAATAGAAGATGTTTTGAAGGCAAAGAGGCGCTGGCTTGGGCTGTTAAATCATCTATTCTACATTCTCTATATTTTGGGTCCTTGGAATTAATTGTTCCTCGGTGGACAGTTTGTTAGATTTTGTCAACAACTTATCATTGTATTGACGCCTATGGCGCCTTTGTTTTTTCTTTGTTAAGGGTTGCTCTCCCTTAGAGCTTTTTTGATATATATGCTTTACTTATCAAAAAAAAAAAAAAAAAAAAAAACATCTACACTCCACTAAAGCTACAGTCTAGCCAAAAGTACAACTGGATCAAACCTAGGAATACAATAAAATAATTCTATAACATTAGAGTTGTAGAGAGGAAATGAAGACTAATTCTTGTGTTGGTTTGGGGTTTAGACCCTTCCATTGAAGACAAAGGGCTCTATTTGTAGAGTTGGGGAGGGGAAGCTTGATGGCTTCAGATGGTGACATGTGGCTCCCCCAATCTTATAATCTGACACATGTGGGTCTATTGTTGGTTGGAGTTAATGCAGCCCTTCCAATGGTAGTAGCTAGGGATGGCAACGGGCCGAGTTTGAGGTGGTGGGCCCCTTCACTGTCCCCACCCTTGCCCCTATTTATTATTTAAGTTCACCCACCGCTTATCCACCCAAAACGATTTAGTAAATAACCTCCCACACCCACTTAAGTTCCCCCACCCCAGCCTGTTTAAATTCCAAAACAATTTTTTTCCCTAATTTTCCCACTCAAATACTAAAAAGTCATATTTAGGATTATAAATTAAATAACATTCTTCCAAAGTTTACACAATTGTACCAAATTAACCAAACAAACATAAACATTCTTCCAACAAGGGTAATTTTGTATATAAGGTATAAGGGTAAAATAGTATTTTTGCATTATAAAAGGGGTGGGGGTGACCTTCTTCCTTCCCACCCCGCACCGCACGGGTTTTCACAACAAAACCTGTCCCCACACAAAACTATAAAAAAGGCCTCCAAAACCGTTTTAAACAGGGAAGGCTACTTTGCCATCCCTAGCTGCAGCACCTGGGAACTTAATTTTTTCCCTTTTGATGAGAGAATCTCTAGGCCTTTCTCCTGCAACTAGTCCCTTTCCTTTTTAGGCTTTGCTGCGCTGCACCTCCTGCAGAATCACTCTTAGCCATATAGAGCTCAGATCTCTTTCCTTAATCACCATTTTCCTGGTTGATGACTTACCCTTTCACATGCCACCCACGTGTCCCTTGATTGATCTTAGCATGTCGATAGTGACAACCTAGCATCATCTTAATCTTTTACTACTGTTTACCCTATAAGCAATTAGCCAACTCACACTTGGCGAAATTGGTTTCGCCTCGGCACTCATTTTAGACATAAACAGGATTGTCCATTGTCGACTTTAACTACTCCAAAGCAATTGTCAAGTTGAGATGATTGACCTCGACTATTTTGTCGGTTGGTTTGCTGGACTTGGTGAGCCGCACAACCCCACCCTAACCCAAAGTCCATCTGCTTAGCCATTTGGTTGTCCACTGTCAAGTCAAGTGAAAAGCACGTGGCACACTTCCACAACTAACCTGCAAGGTGCATTGCCACTCCATGACATCAAGTTTGTGACACGTGATCCCTTATGGTTCCACGTGGCCAAATCCGGGTCATCCAAATTGGAACCAAATTGGGTTTTACAATATGTTAAGAAAATATCAAAAATTTAAATATGATAATTTTCTAAATCAGGACCAACAGGGAATTAACAAAGATAAGGAAGACCAAAGTCGCCACTGATCAGACTCCCTAAGAAAACCTACAATATTGTTCAATATTTTCAAAATAACACCCATAACAAGCTCTAGAAAGCAGTCACACACCGACTATATCAATATAATATAACTCATGAGGGTCACAAATTTAGACAGCAGAAAAGACTTTAAAGAGAATATCCAAGTACAAATGTTTAAATACTCTAGCAGTAAAAGCAAAGGTATAACAAGTATAAAGGTCTATGATGGCATCCTTGGATCCAATTGGTATATAAATAAATTCACTTGGGTTCCTCTCAGACCGTAAACTAATGATAAGGCCGATAATTGGACAACTAGGAGATGACCTTTCCCCTCAGCTGTAAGCATAAATTTTTCTACATGAATACAAACAACAATCTTAAGTTCCTGAGGCATTGTGACAATGATTAAGATGACTATTGAGAATAAAAAGTTGTTGGAATGATTGAAAAACATGAACCGATAAAGAAAACTAAGAATAAATACAGTAATTGAAATATGATTATTACAAAGCAGGCCCAAGAGAGAAGTAAGAACGATAAAAGCAGACCGAAGTCATCACTGATAAGGTTCCCAAATAAACCACAATTTTGTTCAATATTCAGGAATTACCACCCATAACAAGCTCCAGAAAGTGATCACATATCAGTAGTATAAATACAATATATGTTATGAAGGTCATGGTACCACGCAGACAACTTCAAAGTTCAAAGATAGATTCACGTACAAAATTTTTATTACTCCAGCAACAAAATCAACCCAGAGGACCTCAGCCGAGGAATATTAAGACTTGATTACAGAATCTAAAGTAGAAAATGTACAGTAACTATCAGGTGAATTGCCAATAGACATGGCCATGTGCATCAGGAATGAGAAGGAGATCTGAAATCTCATCTACCATCTTCAGAGCATGGTCCTAACCTAAGATTTTCAGATTAAACCTTGATCACAGTGGATTAAAACTACGAGTTCTTGTATTATATATTATAGTAGTGGAAATTATTCCAACTTCCTAACTTATCAAACTTAAGTTAATCTGTGTTTAAGTTTGCATCAAAGTTCAATCACGCCAAAATACTTGGTCACCGTGGACTAAAATTTGCAAAAGTTGAATTAATGAACGGCGTGTAGCTCAAGGCCTGAGATAGAGTCATAAGCACTTGTACTATATATTCCAAAAGTGAAAATCATTTCCATTTCTGAACTTATCAAACTTTTAGCTAATCTGTGTCTAACTTTGAGTTAAACCTCAATGACTCCAAAATGGAATTTATTTATATTGTTTAATAAAACTTGAAATCAAACTCTGATAACAGCTAGTCTCAGGAATCACCAAACTAATTGGCATATTTCTTCCAAAAACACAATAGAGTCCTCTGACTTTGGTTTGCCTTATCTTATGATCATAATACAACAAGTGATGCTTAGTCCTGGAAACCTGCATGTATGGCACACTTAGGATTATGCAGACTGTGAATAACCACCTATGAAAAGTAACATCAGCTTCCCAAAACATGAAAATCCACAAGCAACTAACCTCTTCTCTTTCCAAGTACTGATCCTCTGATAAGAAATCCACAGCTTCTGAACCTAGAAAGGAGTTAGTAAACCTTCGCATTTTATAAAACCGGTCTTTAACGACAATGGATTCTCTCATTTTTCGAACAATAAGAGCTAGCTCATCAACCGCCCCAGAGCTGGATTCATCATCCTCACCAGAAAGTGGTGGTAAAGGAGCTTCAGATGATGCCCTTTCTGTAACAACATACTCGATCTTCTCATCAAGTTTGCCAGACTCATCCAAACCCTTTAGCTCACCCAATCCTCCAATAAGAACTTCATTAAAAAACACTCTAGGAACAGCAGAAGACCCGGCAATTTTCTCTAGTTCCAGCTTTCTGCTGGGGTATATATCAATATTAATCTCAACGTATCTGAGCCTTTTCCAGTGCAGAAATAGCCTAGCCCCTTTGCAATCCTGGCATCCTAACCTTGTATATAGTATAACTCTTCCTTTAATGTCTGATGGTTGTAAAGATTCTTTAACTACCTCCTCCTGCTGTACAGCTTCCTTTTCTGCATCAACATCACGTGAAATCTTAATAAAGCTAAGGGGATTCCATCCAGATCTCTCTAGTGGTTTGTGAGAGACTTCTTGGGCTTCAGTTCTTTCAGCAGAATCCGCAGGCTCCTTAATATTACAATGGCTGTTATCATTCTTATCTTCAGCATCAGGAACATTCTGTCCATCATCACTCTTTCCTGAGAGGCGACGCATTACACTGGAAACTGCAACTACACTCTTCTCCCTGACAAAGTTTTTCAGAGCCACTGCTTTCTCAGGCCAAGCATTATTTTGACTCTCCGGATCAAGATCCAAAGAACGAGTAGATTGGCTCCTGTTAGCTTCCATTCCAGGAACCTCTGTCCCGTCAAAGACAGGCTCCACCTCCTCCCCACTAACTTCCTCAAGTTTTTTGTTTATTCCTTCTTCATTTTGGGACCCCAATTCCCTACTCTCATCCATCCTGTCATTCAAATCACCTAGTTTTTTTTCATTGACTATACTAGGACCTTTTGCATTTGTATCCAATGATTTCATAACTCTAGGTGATTTTACTAGGTCCTCTTTCTCAGCATCAAGTTTATCTCCCACCATCTTTTCAGAAGTTGGAGATATTGAAACAATTTTCAAAGAAGAGTCTTCCTTTTCCGGGTCATCTTTCTGAAAAGCAGGTCTATCCCCCTGCTCACTTTCAGCTGCTGGAGAATTTACCATGTATTTCCCAGCAGAGTTTCCCCTTTCCTGGTCTTCTTTCTGAACATCAGGAAAATTTCCCTCCATTTCATCAATTGCAGCTCTGACTGAATCTTTTTTAGTAGAATCTTCCTTTTCGAGCGCTTTGTTCTGAATGTTAAGAGTTTCACCCTCCTTTTTATCAGCTGTTGGAGTCTTCACTGAATTTTTCTTATCGGAATCATCCTTTTCCAGGCCTCTTAGCTGAACATCAGGTGTATCTCCCTCCGTTTCATCAATTGGAGTTCTTACTGAATATTTTTTAGTAGAATCTTCCTTTTCGAGGGCTTTATTCTGAACATTAGGAGTTTCACCCTCCTTTTTATCAGCTGCCGGAATCTTCACTGAATTTTTCTTATTGGAATCATCCTTTTCCAGACCTCTTTGCTGAACATCAGGTGTATCTCCCTCCGTTTCATCAATTGGAGTTCTTGCTGAGTTTTTTTTAGTAGAATCTTCCTTCTCGAGGGCTTTATTCTGAGCTTTAGGAGTTTCACCCTCCTTTTGATCAGCTGTTGGAATCGTCAGTGAATTTTTCTTATTGGAATCATCCTTTTCCAGGCCTTTTTGCTGAACAACAGGTGTATCTCCCTCCTTTTTTTCACTAGAAGAAACCGTCACATTTGTCTCACTAGAATCTTCCTTTTCCATTATGCCAGCAATATATCAAATTCAAAACCCGACCCACAGATGCATGGCTTTCAGATGATGCATATCCTTCCAATTGTTGATTTTGACATAAGGAGTTATTTACAGCATTCTGCAACAAGTTCAGATGAGGGCTTAAAAAATGTCAAAAAGGCTTACAGAACTCCATCATCCATGGTAATTTAGTATTAACAGACTGAAATATGGATTTTTAGGGATCTAATCAATTATAACAAGGTGACGAAGGTCAGAAATTTACAAAACTTGGGCAACGGTGTCTCAGAATTTTGAAAAACCAAGTAAATAATTAATAATAAAATAAAGAAATTTAAACTTTCCATCAAATATTTCTCCAACTCCTGATTTTATACGTATACAATCATAAAAAGAAAATAGCATGGAGGTAGAGTTGTGTGATATGACTTCTGATTTTATATGCCGTATTTTGCTTCAACATCTGCATTGACAAGGCAAACTTCAGATATAGTAACCGTGAAAATTTTATTAGATCACCGAAAAAAGAAAAGAAAAAAGAAAAAAAAAAAAACACTGGTCAATTAAATGATACAAGGGGGCAGAAGAAAAGATGGAAATTGTAGTTCTTTCATTTATATTGATAAACGGCACTAGAGTTTCTCTTTCATTTGAAACCGTTCTTTCATTTATGTTGATGAATGATGCTAGAGTTCTCTTTTATTTGAAACACCACCTTAATTAGCCTGGTGAATGGACTGGTACTTTTATAAAAATACGTCACATTTCTTTTTGAATTGCAACAATGGATATGTAAATGGTCAATCTACAGTAGGAAAGTTGCAAGGCTTGACTCACTAGTGACCCCATTGCCGAATAAATCGAACAAGTGGCAACACCTTTTTCTACAAAAGGGCCACACTTGAAGCCCCTGCACCATTACACAGATACAAACACATGCGTGTGCATGCAGACAAAACACCTAGACTTAAAACAATGAGAAATGTCAACAGAACATACTGAATATAATGCTCTTGATGGGTGCCCAATAAGATTAATAAAATAAATATCTTTGAAATAAAGCAGTTGAGACAAGGATTTGTTTGGATGCCAAATTCATTACCAAAAAGGCATAATCTTTTTCACCAAACTGACTGTCCACAGGGTAACAACAACATGAGCATAAGCAATTAATCCTTTCGGATTCAGAGTAAAATTTGAGATACATACCCAAATTTTTTTTTTTTTTTCATTGGCCAGAAACACACACAAACACACAACTCACACACCCACTTTGCTCCTATGGGGACTCGAATCCTCACCATCCATTTTGGGAGGTAGAGGAGATACCATTAGGCCACAAGGCCCTTGGTAGATACATACCCAAATATACCACGTATACGAAGATTTCAGGAAGAAGAAGAAGAAACGAATAAAAAACAAGTCAGCATAGAATGAAGCTAAAGAATGACAATTGTCAAGAAGAAACAAAAATTATGCTCATAAACCCCAAACAAAAAGCATAGACGAAAAAAGAAAGAACATCAAGACGCACATATACAAAACCAAACAAATCAGTTTATAGCACATAAAGTTCAACGGAAATTTTTGGCAAAAAACGTCCGAATCATTTCAATCTCATCAAACCCACCAAACAAAGCATTAACAATCAACAAAATTGATAATAAAAAGGTTTCTGCAATTCATGTTTAGGAAAATCTATCATTTATCATTTATATGTATGTGTGTACAACTATATACATGTATATACATCATCAGTGCGAAAATGAGGGGAGAGACTTACAGATCTGAGTTCGATACGAGAGAAGGAAAATTGAAGAATAGAAATTGAGAAAAAGAGAAGTTACGAAATGGCAATGAACAGAGCCATTAAAAATCGATGATAGTATTGAGAAGTGGAGTTGAATTGAAACCGTCGTAGAATTAGGGGAAAAAATGACTTACCAATAAGACTTTAGACGAATGAGGTGGGATTAAGCCCAGCGCGAGAAGCGGGAAGTACTTCTATTATTATGGCATTTCTTCCAAAAAAACGCTTGATTGTATCTCATATTACCAAATAGCCATTATAACCTCTTTGGGAGGATCAGGATCGTCAGCTTTGGAGCAGTTTGCTGTAGGACCGACCTGCTGGTTTTAAAAAAAATATGTAAACGGCATCGTTTTTAGACTCCCTACACCTTTTTCCAAATGAGACGTGATAATGTTACCTAAATGCCATAATATAAAACTTATTAAAATAATGGGTAATGCTAAACTTACCCAACGACTTTTGTCTCTTGCCCAATGAATTTACCCAACTACCTTTGTCTCTTGCCCAATGAAACGTAATAAAATAATATTATCCAACACTAAGACAAATAATATAATAAAATTACGATGAAGTGCATAAAATATTCTATATTATGTTTACAGTGCATATCACACTTTTCGCGTGCGCAAAATATTCTCAAAGTATTGATTTGATACAAATAAGTCTCTCTGATACATTTAAATTAGAGTTTATCTAAATTACCCTTTATGAGACATTTTATAACTTAATAAAAAATACATTATTGTGTAAAATGACAAGAAAAGGACACAAAATGAAAGGCTCCATTGGCCATGTGACAGCAGCCTTACTGTGGGTATCCTTTTCTCTCCCCTCTCTCTCTAACCGATAATGAGGGAAGCTTCGATGATGACAAATACGACCGCCAGATAATACTCCGATAACAGTGATGAAACAGCGAATAAGGGGACAACAACGCTAAAGATGGCAGCGATTTGAATATTGACACTGCATAGGGCGAGGACAGCTTAATTATCTTATTAAAGCCTGGAGTTTGAAGAGTTAGTTATACGTTGACAATGGCAGGGACTAAAACTGGAATGAAGAATGGATCTTTGAGGAAGATTTTGTTCCCGACGGCAATATATTGAACTTGATTAGCGACGATGTGCGAAAAATGTTAGATTGAAGCCAAAACTGCGAAGTGCTCATAGTGCCGCTGGCAAAGTCATGGAGGACTTCATTGGGGACTCTGATCATGAGCAAGATTCCGATGCCATAAAATGCAGCCAGTGTTTCAGGGTTGGCGTTAAATGTGGTACCCCCAAATTTCTGAATACAGGTTGGCCAGGCCTATGCCCGAATACCTAGAGATATCAAAAACAAACTGCAATAAATGAACACATAATACAAAAGGATAAATAATAATAGATAAAATGCTGAAATGAACTAAAATGATAATCCAATATTTAAATCCTCAGAATAAATTTTCATTAATAAATTCTTCTGATACAACTAATCCTCCAAAATACAACTCGGGAATCCATACTTTGTGGACCCCTAGAAAATCCTAACTGATAGAATCAATAGTTACAACTGTCTACATCTAAATATTGAAACATAAAGCAAAATCCTATGTAGATAATCCGGAAGACTGATGATGACTGGTCTTTGCCCTGCACAATCAAAGTCTATATAGACTTGAAAAATAAATAGTGGGTCAGACCCATAAACAAGTTCTTTCTACTAAATCTAACAGAGACCTAAGGAACGAATACATCATAGTCAACTCATGCAATAGTTACATAGTCTATACGTATATAGATATACACTAAAGGACTCTTACTAGACTATAGGGCAGGTTCATCCTGATACTAGGTATCACACAAAACACATAGGTAGTCATGAACACTGTCATCTATTAAGGTACACCACATCCTCTATATCCAGCTATGCATCTCAGGCAATATACGCTCCCTAACCATCGATCCTGAGACTCAAACTCATATCATGACATATATCTATATATATATATAATCCCTCATATCCAAATATAAAAGTAAACTATCCAACCATATTATTTCAATGGCATGCCATCCAACTATTCCGTTGATCTGACACGAATAAGTATGACTTAACTCTATGGTTAATCCGTTCCCTTATAAATATAAATATGTAGGACTTAACTATTCTGTTATTAGCATGCAAGGTCATTTGTCAAGAATGAAAGCTTTCAAAGCCTACTAGCTCAAATGGGATCTAACCAAAATAATGATCAACTAAGCATATACCCCACAATTTGAATGTTAGTATGCGTCTGTGCAAATGTAGTATTCTAGAATTGACTTTCAAAGCGTTCTCATAAATAAGATGATGTGGACCACAAAAGCAAGCATAATATCAATTGTTTAAAAATTTTGCTCCTAAATGGCATCCAAAGGCATACAAGGAGCATTGAACTCTCAAGACTTGAAAATTTTCAATTCAATAGAACATAGGCCTCAAAAGATCAAAATTATAGCCAAAATATATCTCAAATCTCAATCATGCAATTAAAGCTCAAAACTTAAGTATAATGCAAATAAGTTATTTTACCCCCAAACTTAAACCACACATTGTCCTCAATGTGCAATGAGAATAATGGAAAAGATAGAGAGAATATACCATAGTGGAAAAAGCCTATGAAACCCGGCAGCGGAATGATCCAATTTGAAAGAAGGCACCCCCAAACTTTGAATCAAAAACCTATCTGAAATAACCACACTAGCAACATTATCATAAATATCAAAATGGGATAAAGATAAGCAAATAATACACTCTAAGGCAATAGAGAAAAAGATGAAAGAGAGATATAAGAACAAGTTTAATATATAAATATATATTTTTGAATGAAAACATGGATGCAAAATTAAATAAAATGCAAATGCAAGTAAAAACACAATTTTTTTTTTTTTTTTTCAAATTATGAGCACAAGTATGTTCTATCGCACAGTGCCACGATCGACGCAGGGAATCCACGATTGATTAACAGAGCTTGCTTTTTTTAGGCAAAAATTGTGTGCAGGTACAACTGATCACACAAGGGTTGCGATTGATTGCAATGTGCCAGGACCGATCGTACAAAGAGTTCGATCGATTAACAGAGAGTTATTTCACAGGATAACTTTTTCTTGCACAGGTGCGATCGATCGCACAGTGTTGTGATCGATCGCAACTCAGTACGATCAATTAAAAGAGGCTGAATTTTAGGCATAAAATTTCTGTGTGCAAATGCGATCGATCGCAATAGGTCAGGATTGATCATGGGAAGCTGAAAAGGCACTAAATGCCTATAATTTTTGAAATGAAGCTCCTTGGATCATCAATGGGACTATCTGGGCGACGCAAGAAAGAAAAAGAAAAAGAAAGGGGGAAGAAATAGAGTTGGAAAACTCTACGAAACTAGGTTTAACGTCTCTAGCAAGACGGAGGGTCAATTTCTAGCCTGCATCAAACACTTTCATTGCCTTCCTCCTCACTATGGGTTGTATATACCCCTAAATCTCACTTAACAAGTTACTCCATTGGGAACTTGTTGGATTTGAAGCAATGACGATTAATGGATCTCTATCAACACCCAAGGAAGCACATTTAAGCTTATTTGACGATTTAAGCCCTAGTTCATGGGTTGAATCAAGAGAAGGAAGATCATTTGAGATGAAAGGAGAAGTGATTTTTGTGGAGGAATAAGGTGCGAATCTTCAACCACTTCCTCTATGACATTCACACAAAATTGCTCATTTTTATCTGAAGATTTTGGAGTAGGATTGAAAATGTTTAACTTAACTTTCATGTGCCCAAAAGAGATTTTCATCACCTTCATCCTACAATTAATGTTTGTTTTGGCGGTAGCCAAGAAAGGACAAAGAATGACGGGTATGTGACTTTTAGGGTTATAGACCAGTTCCGTATCAAGTACCACAAAATCTACTGGAAAGTAGAATTTGTCCACTTTAATAAGAACATCTTCAATGATCCTACGTAATTTCTTGATGGACCTATCGGCAAGTTGTAAGACAACCGATGTGGGTTTTAACTCCCCCAAACCTAATTGGAGATACACCGAGTAAGGTACAAGATTGACACTCGCTCCTAAGTCCAAAAGATCCCTATAAATTACATGATCACCAATGGTGCATGAAGTCGTCGGAGAACCGGGATCTTTGAACTTGGGAGGGGTGTTATGTTGAATGATCAAGCTTAGTTGCTTAGTGAGAAGTACTTTCTTCGGTGTTTGGCTTTTAGACTTCCTCTTTTGGGTGCACAAGTCCTTTAAGAACTTGGCATATATTGGAATTTGACGGATTGCGTCAAGAAGAGGAAGGTTGATTTTTACTTGCTTAAACACTTCCATCATCTCATGGATCTTGCCCTCTTGTTTCCCAGAAGGAGAAGAGTTTTTCAATGCTTGAGGAAACAGAGTGTGATACCCCTCGATTATAGAGCCACGGGTGATCAAGTTCGAGCACAAATCCGAGGGATACCAAACAATTAATATTTAAACAAGCAGGATTACAAAATAGAATTAAGAAAGAAATAATAAAAGGCTGAAAAGAATTCTAAATAATAATCCTTAAAAATGTTAATTAATTAATCCTCGAACAGAATCCATAAAATCCTCCAATAAAAGAACAACTCGGGAATCCATCAAGTGGACCCCTAATAAAAATCCCAACTGAAAAACTGAACTAAAAAAGAAATCCAAAACATAAATAGCAGTCCTACGTAGTCGAAAGAATGAGTGACCGTCTCTGCTCAACACGAACAAACTCTAAGACTGGAACCGTCTGATACCTGAAAAATAATAGTAAGTCAGGCCCACGAACAAGTTCTACTCTAACTACAGTCCAAACAGAGACTCGATACACAGATACATCCTAGATAACTCAACAATAACTATCTAGTCCATAAATATATATATCCACACTAAGGGACTTTCACTGGACTACAAGGCGGTCTCAACCTGACTAGTAGGCAACATGCAAAACGCACCTGAAGTGGGCATGAATACTTAGACCTAACAGGGTACACCTCTACTATTATAGCTAGCTATGCATCCCAATGCATATACGCTCCCCAACCATCGATCCTGAGACTCAAGCTCATATCGTGGTATCATAAATATATATTTAAAGTCCATCCACATCTAAAGTAGCGTCGCTCAACTGTTCGT